AGGGGTCATGTAACAGTTTCAGTGGAGGGAGGGGTCATGTAACAGTTTCAGTGGAAGGAGGGGTCATGTAACAGTTTCAGTGGAGGGAGGAGTCATGTAACAGTTTCAGTGGAGGGAGGGGTCATGTAAGAGTTTCAGTAGAGGGAGGGGTCATGTAACAGTTTTAGTGGAGGGAGGGGTCATGTAACAGTTTCAGTGGAGGGAGGGGTCATGCTACAGTGCTCACTGTGGTCGAGTAGTAAAGATTAGATTATTAGTTACATACAATTATAAAAAAGACAGTGACCTAAAACTACATATAATTATACTAAGACCAATGTGTGTGCATATTCCGTTCGCTTATGAAATAGAATTATCACAAGACTGTAAACAATATTTAAGGCGATACTTACCACTCGACAAATAACACGTTCGATAGACGCTGCCATGTTGACAGTTTCAATCTGCATTCGTAGTAACCATATACAGATATATATATTATTGTTCAGGTAGTCTCGATCCGGAACCGATCGTCCGGTCCTTGGTTTCCGGTGAAGATAGCTATAGGCGCATGTGACTTTCGCCTAGCGAGTAAAAGAACGTTTCGTCGTTCTGAGAAGAATGCCCTTCCAAACACTGGTGAGTAACGATTTCAAATTCAGGTTTTGTGTTCTAGCTACAGTGTAACACAACACGAGTGACAAGAGTTGAAGATTGGTTAGAAGTTTATTCCGGTAATCTCAAGTGTTAGGATCGGTCTCTGTTGTCTGTGTACCTCCGTGTAGTCTATGGTGGCTGATATATGACATTTCGTCTTTTCGCTTTGTCGCCCGCGAAATAACGCCAAGCGAAATAACGAAATAACGCCAAAGCGCCAAAGCGAAAAGACGAAATAACGCCAAAGCGCCAAAGCGAAAAGACGCCAAAGCGCCAAAGCTAAATAACGAAATAACGCCAAAAGGAGGGAGAAAAGACGCCATTTTATCTCTTCGCTTTGGCGTTATTTTCACTTCGGTTTGGCGTTATTTCGTTATTTCGCTTTGGCGCTTTGGCGTTATTTCGTTATTTAGCTTTGGCGCTTTGGCGTTATTTCGTCTTTTCGCTTTGGCGCTTTGGCGT